CTTTGTGTCTCGAGTAATTTAGCCACGCGAATTGGGAATCGCGCGACTGCGATTGACCGCGCTTCACCGCTACTCGTTCCTCTTACAAGTGCTAATTTAGTCACAGTCACAACAAAACTTATAACGAACGTTGAAGCGATCCAACGATTAGCGGTGGAGCGTGGATAGTCACAGTCGCGTAACTAAATAGCTCGAATCACTACGTACGAGCACAGCCTCATACCGAACTTAATATATAGCAATAGTCAACATAAGATCAACAAAAAACTTTGGAAATAGGAAAGTTTCAAATTTTCACAGGGATTTTCCCCCCAGCTCTAACGTTATTTAATCTGCTAGTGATCATTCACGATTCAGACCCAGCACAAAACAGCTAAGACTGAGGATAAATGAGTATTCGTTATTTGGACCGTTAAGATTGTTGTACCCCTTCGTTATCTTTGCAATATCCTGAACTGAGCAGATGCTGTCGAGTCAGTCTTCAGGCTGTCTTTCTTCCGGAGAGCGAAGCTTCAAATGTTGAGATCTGACCTGGAGAGGCATTACCTGAAGAGCCAGTTCGAGGGATCGCGTCAAGGGTTTGATGGACCGCGTCAAGGGTTTGATGCGTAGGGCGTGGGCGAAGACGTACGAAACAGATGAACTAAGCTGAGCCCCATTGGGGTGGGGCTTCCCTCTAGCCAGGAACCACATATTGAAAGATTCGTTATTCGGTTCGAAAAGAGCCCAGAGAATGGCAAGCCGCCGATCCTCTTTGTGAGTGTGAAGCGGATGATGAATAATAAATGAAATAATTTTTAGCACCAAATAAAATAAAGTAATAAATAATCAATATCATCTAGAAATGTTACCATTACTGTCGGATACAACGACAAACTCTGGAGCGTTGTACACCATTCCCACTGTACCCGATGTCCATGTTTCCCCCATTTTTGGTACCATTCTGTTCTCCAACGGATACTGCCGAAGATTTCATGCCTGAAATTCTTCCTTCCTTTCTTTTAGAAAAAGCTCCTTAAAAGCTAAAGAATACGCGAAGGAAGTGAAGAAGATTGCGAAAATCAAGTACAAAGTCCTGAAATACTGGAGGAATGTATATATAAAAGCAATACACAAGAACTGACGTAAGACCGCGTTCGGACTTGGCTGAATCGCGCGATCTGAACGCAGTCTAATGCATCAGGGGCGGACAGCAGTTGTATTCTTGGAAGACGACAAGCACGGCGCTAATCGACTAATGTGTGGGGAGGTGGGTGCAGGATTTTGCTAGCTCCTGTCAACGTTCCTGGCTTTCCTGTAATGACCTCTGCCCTCCACTAATGGGATAAACTTCAATTTCCATACAATAGATGTGCAGTTCGGTTTCAGCGAGGGGGGGGGGGGCGTTCCGCCCTTTCATTAGTTTCTTTTGTTAGAGTGGCCTGTGAAAGCTTCACTGACTACAATTTCTGTCCTAACCAAGCCAAACTGCGCCAATGTTTCCCGAAAAACCGGCCGGCAGAACATCACAAACATTTGAAGCCGCAACTCGCCAATAACGGACACCTTCTTCGACCGCAAACGCTTAGAAAGTTAACACCAACCAAGTCTCGAGTAGGATATAATTAAACAAAGAAACTGGTTCATTCAGTGAGGATATTTACATCCCAGACGCGGCAAAATAGGTGTTCCAAGCGGGAAGTCGCTGTAACACGCTGTAAGGCCGCGTTCATACATGATGCAGAAATGCCGAACCACGGAATGTGCAGAACTGCGGAATTTGCAGAAAAAGAAAATATGTCTATCGATTTCAAAAACCGCGTGGAATATGGCAGAAGGTGCGGAATTGGCAGAAATGCCGATGGACCCGACGATCCCCACAGGGCACAGCATTCGATGGGGATTTTGGTCGAGCCTGTACGACCCCCCCCTTTTTTGGGGGTTCGGTACGACCCCCCCCCTTTTTTTGCCGTTCGGTTTTTTTCGCCTTAAATGAAACTATGAAACGCCCACTATGAAATTCTACTTGTATGAAGGTGCCCATACTAAATGGACGACTTGAAGTCATGACATAATAGAACAATACAGAGATGATTGCAAACAAAAAACGGTACAATCGTATTATGAGAAACTCGTATGATGAACTTCTTCGATGGCCGTTTTGAAAAGCAACTCATGGTAATGAATTAACGATCGCGATAAATTCAATACCTGAGGTGGACTCCCTCTCTGGGAGCGGCCATCGAGCGACCACAGTGTTAACAACGTCTATTCCCAAGATTGAGGACGAGGAAAAGAGAAAGTTAGGCTTGTCTCACTACGTAACAGTTATACAAACCGCCGTAAAAATGCATTACCCCGATTATTGGAGTACGGTAGCAGAAGCGCATGTAATTGCAGATGTGACCGCAGATCGTTCGGCAATTTTAGCCATGGAGCGAGAATTTTCAGCAAAGTAGGGTGTCTTTGAAGGACCATAACTTCCTCAAAAGCGGACCTGTGGGGAAGAGGAGACCGTATTCGTGTAGAGGAAGGATTGCACTTCCTAAATGTACTGAAACGTTTATGAAGGTCGCAAAAATCACAGAGAAATCTGCCCATAGGGATTCCATGGGGAGTGAAGGGTTGAAGTTTAAGTTGAACAGGTTTGAACCAATATATTTTTTTTGTAACTCAACATTTCACAAATCTGAGAACGGATCCGAGTGTTTGAAGATTTTCTCTTTCTCCTCTTGAACTGTTTCTGAAGCTCTCGGGATTCATGAGACCGCATATGGGGATTTCTTGAGGAACACTCCCAGCTGCGCGAAAAACCCGTTTCCTGTGTACCGTTTCAAGTGAGCGTGTTCGAATAGCCAGGAACGCATGTAGAACGTATCCTGTGGTGGAGCAGGAGCAGGATATGGTTCGTTTAGCGCCGATCACGTCAACTTTGGATGCGCCGCGCACTGAGGGCCGCGCGCAGAGGTGATGGGATGGTGCAACTTGTGCGTAATGTCTGTTCACGCGAGCAAATGTGTCTATAAGGTTCAGGGAGGTCCATGGCGAGCCTGTGCACTTGTTTACAGTGTTTTCTGTTGCGTACGGATGCGAAATCATGTCCGCTGTCCAACGCGACCAGATTCGTGCTCTGCCAATCGCTGACTCCGATAAAGGAGACCAACTGCTGGAAAACGTCTGATATGAACGATATGGTAGTCCTGTCGCTTGTCGAGAAAAAAAACAGGTTGGCTCAGCGCCAAGCGTGACCGCGGACACGCCATATCATTGGCAGCGACGCGAGCGCAGAGTTTGAGTGTTGTACTGTAGTCAGCCACGGACCTTACGAGATGATGTCGACTTATTAATATTTGCAGTTATTTCGGATTAGTTTGATGAATGAAAGTTTTGTACTATTTTTTGCATATCCGAGTTCTCTACAAAGCAAGTTTCGTTGTACAGGACTCAGCACATTGACAATTTGCGCTGCTCGTTACTGGCTGCCGCACTCACTACGACCCCCCCTCTCCTGGCGGCCAAATACGACCCCCCTGTTGGGGATTCCCCAACCAACGATGTGCCCTGGATCCATCGCTTCTTTGTCCGCAATTTCTGCATGTCTGCAAATTCCGCGGAATTTGCCGTCGTGCGGAATCTGCAGAATCTGCAGATTCTGCATTTCTCCCAATTCCGCACGACGGCAGGGAAGAACCAATCGATCCCTATCAATTCTTTGTCCGCAATTTCTGCATGTCGGCAAATTCCGCGGAATTTGAAGAAATGCAGTTTTCAGATCGATACGTATATATTTCCTTTCTGCAAATTCCGCAGTTCTGCATATTCCGCATTTCTGCATCATGTATGAACGCGGCCTAACACGGGTCGACGATCTACATTTGCAACAGCGCTCTAACGTTACAGACGCGAACGCAGTCGCAGACGGGGAACGGCAGGTGACACCCGCTTGTGGCTTGGAAGTGTGGGGGAATAGCAGGCTAGCCATAGCCGAATCACACAGCTCTATAGATTGGCTCTAGTTGCTCGTGCCTCGGTGCAGTTCAGAGGAATATGAGTGTTCCAGTGTGTGAAGGGAGCGCCTTCACTCCTGTTATCCTGTACTCTTTCGAATAGCAAGGAAGCAGCACCGATCGATTCCCATCTGTGGCTGCGTTCACGTGTACAGAGCTGGGATGCCCTTGCGGTGATAGGTTGTCGACGAGAGTCATTGCGAACGCTACCTTATATCCCAGGTCATCTACAGAGATGGTACGACTGGGAAGTAACGCTCCAATTAGAAGCAAAGAAAAACAAACATTGGGAAAGGAATACACTCCACAGCACAGATGATCCGTTTCGCTCGGTATCGCAGACGAATCATCATTGTCTAGCCAACCCCCGAGCTCGTCAGTGCGACAGGTTGACGACATGAGGACATGGACTACATAGGGGAAGGAGTTGAGAAATAGGATAAAACGAGAAAAAATGAAAAAAGTTTACATGCAAAATTCATGCAGGCAAGATGAAGAGGATTTGTATAGAACAATGGGAGAAGGACATAACTCGATGTAAGTAGCATAACCCTCTAACTAGTCTACTTATTAAATAGGTGTAAGAGAAAGGAAAATGAATTGTTGTTAATAGGGTAAACTAACTGAGGGAATATTGAGTATAAGACACTGTCGAAGCGGATTACAAAAGGTTAAATCAAAAAAATTTAGTGGTAGGAAGGAGAATTAGTGTTGAACACCGCTGCCAATGAGAATACCTCTAACTAGTCTACTTATCTTTCTATAGTTATTTAATAGAGTATTTGTAACTTATAAATTTATTTTTGTAAATACATTTCACAATGCTAGTAATAATAAAATCTTCTTCGTAGCCATTTTTCAAAGAGTCGTGACCATATCCGTTATTTTGCTTACGAATATATCGAAGAACGAACAAGTGTTCGCTAACCTCAATGTTTCCGTATATATAACAAACAGGGAAATAATAAGTTGTTAGGTATTTCCCTTTGTTAATAAGGGAAATATTTGTGTCAACATGCAGAAATCTACATTGAAGCCAAAATCATCCGTTTTATTATACAACTTCGTACTAATTTTACCGTTAGTTATATTGATTGTTAAATCTAAATAATTACTGGAATCTTCAATAATGAGTTCTTTTTTCAACTGGCATGTATCTATATGGAACAAACAGGTTACTGTTATTGAACTTTTTAGATTTAGAAAACCCGGTTAACTCACCCCATACCCCTTTTCTCAGATTTTGGGCAAATAACTTCATCCCGGATAAGAAGCAACAAAGGAATGGCGTGGAAACAGAGCATGTACCAACTTCACAAAAGTTCCTAGTTTTCTTCACAGAAAAAACCAGCCCGTTGACAAGAACTAGCCCCCATTACCCCCTCCCCTCTCTTCCGCTTCTTTAACTGACTTGCGCCCGTTAAAATATCCAAAAGCATAAGCACTTTTCACCTCATGCGAGCGTAGCACAGAAGAAGGAAATGTCGCATCGAGATGCAGCGTTAAATTTTAACCTGATGTTCCCCATTTTGGTTGACCTGATAGCCAGCTGCACCACTCTGCCCCTTCCCAGGACATGGGTTTGGGTACTTATGGTGACGACGCGCACCAAGTAGGAGAAGAGAAGTGACTGACTGAACCTTTCAGATGCATCAGCTATCAGAGCTTTATAATTCAATGTGTCGCGAGATAAAAAAGCAGGACAAAGAATAATTGGGAACAAGACGAAAAAGGGAGGTAAGAGCGAAAAGGAGGTCACTCATAGGAGTGAGCAGCCAGCGCCGACGCACCTCAGTTATATCACTCATCGATGCTGCATTGCATTGACCTTGCCGCAGCGTTCTGCCAGGCACAGCCTGCATCCCTATCCCGAGAATTGAGAGGTTAAACTGAGCGCTTTCACTACTTGCAAAGTCTGCTCGCATCACTGGGATCCAGGCCGCATCTGCTCTTAGG